AATCTAAAAAAAAAAAAATCTGCCCCCAGATTTATTTAACAAATTTCTATTTAGAATGAAGTCCTTTAATGTGGCTGTAGTAAAAATGATACTTTTAATACCCAAAGTTATTGGGAGTATGTTTGAAGCATAAAATTTACAAATGTTTCCTACAATTTAGGATTTTTAAAATTTACTCAGCCTGTAGAAACTTATGAAGTCACAACTCATCTAGTCAGTGAATACTGTTTCTTTTTTGTTTCAAGTTTTAATCACAGGGTGAGCATGTGATCTTAAAAAAATTAATACCAAAAAGATTTGAATACATTGAAGTATTATTCATCTCCTTATTTACCTCACCCTTCCAAAATATTCCCTAATGTGTATGTTCTCAGGGCCTCTTTAAGGGCCTAGGGACTAAGTCTCAGTGCTCTCATCCCTATTGCTGAGTTCGATCCCCTCCAGGGAGGTGACCCACATGGTGCAGCAGACCTCTCCTGTCCTGCCTATGCTGCTCCCCACTCTCTCTTTGGTGAATCCTATCACCCTCTTCCTCTGGCCTACACTCCAGTTCTTCTGTGTATAAATAAATAAATCTTTAAAAAATAATGGCATATATGTTCCTAGAGTTGAATTTATTTTGTTTGCACAGTTACTTTACTCATTGAGTACAGACAGTTATTTTAGCCAACTGTGTTTTGAATGATGTCTATCTTAGAGTTATATGTGGGTGTTTGTTGTCTTTGAATTGATTGCAGCTCTCACCTATTATCTTAATTTTTAGAGAGTTAAAAGCATAAATTGAAGTGGGTACTTAATTCATTGCTTACTCTAAAGCATTTTGCTTCCTGGAAGTGTCTTCAAATCTTAAATGTGCTCTTTTTTTTTTTTTTTAAGATTTATTTATTTGTGCATACAGAGCTGGGGCATAGGCCAGAGGCTCAGAGGCGGTGAGAGGCTTCATCAGAGACAGAGTGGGGAGCAGAACAGGCAGATTGACAAGTACACTGCTGAGGGGAGCAGCGGGCGGGTCAGGAGAGGTCTGCCACACCATGTGGTCACCTCCCGGGCAGGCGGGGATCGAACTCATGCTGAAGTGGCTTTAGCTTCTCCATGCTGTGCTTTAACCCGCTGTGCCACCAGGGAGAGCCAAGTGTGCTCTTCTTTACAGTTGCTTGTTGTGAAAGGTGATTATAGTTGTGTTCCCTTTTAGATAATTCTTTCAACAGTTCTTATATGTAAGTTAGGAAGTAAGGTGTTCTCAATCTAGCAAGTCCAGTGGAAAAAGTGATTTAAAACTGAAAGCATCTCAGAGGATGGTGTCATAGGTAGTAGTGACTGCTTAGGCCTTTCCAGCAGTTTCTTGATGTCTTAGGACAGTAGAGGACAAGGAAGTACTCTGTAATTCAGTGACGGATAATAATAGTTAAATAGAACATGATCTAGATTGTTGTTGGAAGTCTTTGCTTGCTTAGTAGCTTACCCTATTATGTATTTAATTTCATTATTTTTTTCTGAGGAATTGAAGCTTTATTCAGACTATTTAATTGTGACTTCAGCTTGTCTTCTTTTTTTTTTTTTTTTTTAAAGATTTATTTATTTGTGCGTACAGAACTGGGGTACAGGCCAGAGGCTCAGGGGCGGCGAGAGGCTTCACCAGAGACAGAGTGGGGAGCAGAACAGGCAGATCGATGTACACTGCTGAGGGGAGCAGTGGGCGGGTCAGGAGAGTTCTGCCACGCCATGTGGTCACCTCCGGGGCAGGCGGGAATCGAACTCATGCGGAAGCGGCTTTAGATTCTCAGTGCTGTGCTTTAACCCGCTGCACCACCAGGGAGGGCCAGCTTGTCTTCTTTTTAACTGACTACTATCCATCACCTGTTCTGGACAATATATTTAATTTTTAAAGATTTATTTATTTTATGCATATAAGAACTGGGATATAGGTCAGACATGCTGGAGAGAATTCACCAGAAACAGTGGGGAGCAGAATAAATATGGGGAAATATTAATGTATTAATGTATTAATGTATATGCAGTATTGTGGATCTACTGGAATACACTGCTGAGGGGAGCAGCAGGTGGGTCAGGAGAGGTCTGCTACACCCTGTGGGTTAGCTCCCTGGCGGGGGATTGAAATGGTGCTGAAGTGGCTGTGGATAGCTTCATAGTGCTGAGACCTAACTTCTTGCACCACCTGAAATTTTAGCTGGTGCTTTATTAAGTGAGGTCTTCCCTTTTATATCAATACTGTTTCCATGTTGACCCCTATCTTTTCCTGGCCTTCCCTTTCTAATTCAGGTGTTACTTCTACTTCTCTTGTGCAGGTTCCACAAGAGTTCTCAGTTGTTGGCTCCTTGTTGAGTTATTTTTGTGACCAGATTGCTCTACAATCACAAGGCTTTTAAAGCCTTGAGCATCTCCTCTTCCTCTAGATTTTGATCTTGTACACTCATATTTCACAACTTGCCTCAAGACTAAGCCAGGTAGAGAGTCAGAAATAGAATGGAATGCAGTGGCTCCACGTTTTAAATGCCCAGGTTTAAGAGAATGGTATCTATTGAAGTTCCCACTCTGTTGTTTTTTTTTTTTTTGTCTTCATAGTATGGAATGAATTGACAGTGGATACATTCTTTGTGGTAAATGGTGACCAGTAACACATGTGCCCATAATGTAAAATTCCCTAAGGAATTTATAGTCTTAAGGGAAAAATATCTATGATTGAAAATGTAACTTAAAAATCCTTACAGTAGTAAAATTGTGGATGAACTAATAACTTCCTGATATCTTAACTGAAATTGTAAAGGTTAGTGGGCCATTATTTGACTTTAAAGTTTCTCTTTTAAAAAGTTTTTTGATGGTTTTACGCAACAGTATCTTCTTGCTTTTTAGTAGCAGTGAGCAAATTTTCTCTCCAGTGAGTACAGAGTGTAAAGCTTCTATGTATTAATGTTACTGTACCATATAGAATACTATTTTCAGATAAAATAGTGGGTCTTTTCCAGAGATTAAGAAATAAGGAAGGGCCCTCCCTGGTGGTACAAGAGGTTAAAGCACAATACTATGAATCTATCCACATCCTCTGCAGCAGGGATGTGGTCCCCCACCTGGGAGCTGACCCACATGGCACAGCAGACCTCTCCTGTCTTGCCCACTGATACCCTCAGCAGTGTATTTCAGTAGATCTGCCTGTTCTGCTCCCTACTCTGTCTCTGCTGAATCATCTTATCCCTTCTCACCTCTGGTCTGTACCCCAGTTTTTGTATGCATAAATAAATAACTCCTTTAAAAAATAAATATTTCAAATTAACCATTGTTAATTACTCATCAGTTAAAATTGTTTAGTGGTACAAATATAATTGCTTCTATGTTTCTAAATAAGTACTTGTAAGGTCTTTGTTAATTTTTATATGTTCAACTTTGAGAAAATGTTCTTGAAACCCATTCATAGAAAGGGTTTGTCCTACTATCTAAAGTTAGAATCAGTAATAATCCTCATGGCTTGGAATAGCTGAAATTCCTAAGATCTAGAAAATGACCGGTCAAGTTAGCTATGCTATCTTAAATTAAAACAGTGTGGCCATTTTCACACGTGTTATTTCTTCCCTTTTTTACATCTATAGAAATTGAATTTTGAGTGCTACAATTATCCTCAAGTGTTTAGCTTCAGTTACAAAAATAATATTTGCTTATAGGGATGTTTTCCAGCAAATAGGAATAGCAAAAGTATTTGTTTACTTTGTAGCTGGTACAAAGAATGGATTGTAGGTAGGGTTCAAATTCTTGCCACAACTAATTGGATCAAAGTAGCCTGGGAATAAATTTGTGATGGGGTAGAAGCCATGGAAGGCTCCATAGACAGCACAAAGAGACTGACAGATATCTGAGTAGAGTTTTAAAAACAAACTAATCAGATTGATAAGATGGAGGATGTTTCAGACAAGCAAGAAAACTGCAGGCATGTTTGGGAAGCTTTTGGTAGTTGAATATGACTGAAACTGGGGAAAGGAGGTGGGAGAAGACACCCAAGAAGTATCTCGGGGTAATTTTAAGTGGAAATTTCTTTTTAATTAAAGGGGACATAAATGGCTCATAAAAATCGTTGATCTTTAGAAAATTGTTAGATTACTGTAGCAGTTGTTTTTGTTTGAGATAACTTCACAGTTACGAATTTTACATATGTAAGTCATCAAATACAACAGCAATATTGGGATGGGAATAGGAAAACTGCAGTATTGTATATTGTGTTGATAGGATATTTGCTTATTTAGGATTTGTAGTAGAGAATCAGGACCCTAGAGAAGCTTTCAGATTGCATATATAGCACCGACAAAAATGTTTATTGCAGCATTGTTTTCCACATTGAAAAATTAGACCTAAACTAAATGCCATCAGCAGAATGATAAATTACAGTGTATTTATGAAATGGAGTAGTAATCAAATAAATCAACTGGGTATATTAACATGAGTATATCTCTAAACCAGCATTGAACCAACTTTTAAAATTGCAGGATAAAAATAAATCTTATATATAACTTAGTTATATACATATATGGCAAACATTAGCATGCATGGGATGATAAATACCAAATACAGTAAGTAGAGTGTTTGTTTTTGGGGAGAGAGGGATAGGAAAATGGTGGGACGCCAGGTCCCTTCAGCTGTATAGTGTAAGAATATATTTTACATACATGTGTGTAGATTCATTACCGGAACTAAATATGGGGAAATATTAATGTATATCAAAGCTGGGTAGTAGATACACTTTTATTTTTTCTGAAAACAGAAGAAAAGAATCGATCAGAGAATGATTTCCTCAGACAGCAACAGCAGTAAAGAAAATTTTCCCAAGGGTGAGCATGGCAGATGGCAAAGGCTTCTTGTGAGGAGGGGGATGATACTTATGTAGAAGTATCACTCACCATATTGGTAATATAGAGTGGAAAGTTAGGGTGTGGGCGTGAAATGTCTAATTCAGTCAGACATTCTAGCTGATTTCTTTCTTGATCTTTTTTAGAGAAATATGAAACGTAATGGGAGTAGAAACTGTTTGAATAGGAGAAGCAGGTTTGGGTCTCGAGAAAGAGACTGGCTGAGAGAAGATGTGAAGAGAGGCTGTGTTTACCTTTATGGAGCAGAGACATCCACTGCCACTACAACCACCACCTCCGCTGCCTCTGATTTGCATCTTGTCCTTTGCACAGTGGAGACACCAGCATCAGAAATATGTGCTGGAGAGGGAAGGGAAAGTCTTTATTTACAACTTCATGGAGACCTGGTCAGGTAAGGTCAGAGTTTTACCCCTCATGTTACTACCATCACACAAGTAATTTGAGCCACTTGGAGGTAGGCTTTAGGATTTTCCTTGTGCTGGAACTGATGTTGATATGGAGTCACTACACTTGGAAAAAAGACTTGACCTTGTAATGCTTTATGGTTCTTAAATTTGAAAATTATCTGCAAAGGAAAATTTGATAGTTAACTTCATTTTGATTATGCCATAGGTCAGCTATCTACATTTAACATACATGTATTTTTTTAAAAGTCATACATGTAGAACTATGAAATATATAACAAGTGTACAGAGTAAGAATTACATATGTTCATGTATGAATTTGTGTTTCTATATAAATCTTAAAAATTATAGTATATGCAACACATCGTGGACTTATATAAATATTAATATTTATATAGTTTTCATTTACTATAATGGCTGCATAGTGCATGACTTTATGAATATCATAATTTCAGCAACTTTTGCACTAATGGCCATTCAGGCTGATTTTGTACTTTTGCTGTGCTGCAGTAACTGTGCTTATATCTGTGATATTTGTCTGTGGAAGTCATCTGTAGGATAAACTACAAGTAGAACTACTGGGCCAGAGGATATATACATTTATAATTTTTGATAGATATTGTTAAATTCCTCTTCCTAGAAGTTACTTCAATTAATAGTATCAAAATGTACCCATTTACATCTTCATTCTGCAGAACATGTTAGTGTTAAATTTTATGTATAAATGTAGATATGTATTCATGTCTGAGCATATATTTGTTTGGGAAAGAAATGATTGTCAGTAGTTTTAAAATTAGAGATCCAAAATCAGCGTTCCAAATGGTTTTCAAGCCTATTGAGTTGGATTTCTAATAAAAATCTAATAAAAATTTGGTTATTTTATTTTAATTTTCATTTATCTTGATGAGTAAAGTTGAACACATTTTTATAGGTTTAAAAACCATTTCTGTGTTTTTTAAAATATTTTGGATAAACATTAATAAGAAAAGTAATGGGGCCTTCCTGATTGTGCAGTGGTTAAGTCTCAGTGCTATCAAGCTACTGCCAGGCACTGTAGCACAGCACTGATTTGGAGCCCTACCCAGGAGCTGACCCACATAGCACAGAAGGCCTGTCCTGAGTTGACCACTGCTCCCCTCAGTAGTATATTTCTGTAGATCTGCCTCATCTGCTCCCCTAGTCCCTCTGGTCTACACTCCAGCTCTGCTATGTATTAAATAAATACAAATAAATCTGAAAAAAAAAGTATTCTTGTAGTAGGTTTACACTATTCATATAAACTCTTTGGGTTGGCTTTTTAAAAATGTTACTGTTTTTTGTATGAAACCTTCAATAACAGTGCCTTAAGTACTGGACCATTGTCTTTATCTTCTCCCTACCTTTCCTGAAATAAATAAATGTCTTGAAACAATTTAAAGCTGTGGATTGAGTACTGTTGAAAGTGAGAAAGGAAGCTCTAACTTACACCTAAAAATGTGGTAATAATAGTAGCACCTTTAGTGAGCTACAAATTGATGTTATTTTAAAAGTCTAAACTGAGGTTTATTCAAACCAAAACAAACACTTGAATTCTGACTGCAGAACTGAGATTACTAAAGGTGGTGATGACAGGAACAAAGGCCCATGGACTGCACTGGAGAGTTACCATGAATGTGGTGCTGTAACATAAGAGCCACGAACCTATATTCCTAAAACATTCAGTGTTGTAAACCAAGGTTACCTCAAAGAAAAGGCTAGAGTCTGATATCAATCATTGTCTTACTCTTTAGTGACAAATGAGATTTTATGCTTGCTTGCAATGACCAAAGCAAATTTAGTGACTGCAACATGTCTTTAGATGGTCAGAAATTGTGGTCTATTCATTCATTGTCTTGGATAAAGGAAAATCGCAGCATACATGAACATTCATGAGTACTATGATAACTGATTTTGGAATCTATTTTTGAATATTAAAGTATATCTCCAAGTTTAATTTTTCAGAATTTAATAAAATGGCATATATATATTCAAAAGTAAAAAATAAATTTTTTACTTTTGTAAAGTAAAGTAAGGCTTATTGTGTTCCTTGTAGGATTTGGACTCGTTCCTGAAATAGTAGATTAGCATTTGAGTGTTTTCCTTGTTTACCAGTTAATTACATTTACTGTATTCATTTGCAAAAGGAGGGGATCAGCCGGGGTGATCCTTAGGTTTTTCTAAATCTTACTATTGATCCTGATCTAATTTTATCAGGTGGAAAGCCTTGACCTACATTATAGCTGGTAGTGATTGATGGAATTCACTTAGCACACCACTAATTCATTTGTATGTGAATGTGTTTGTGCAAAGATGTTAGGAATGTGGAGAAACCCTCTTGAATTGGCTTGCTGCTGCTAGTGTGTAGTTAATTAAGAATCTGAATGTCAAATAATTTACTTTGATTCTAAACTGTATTTACAATTAAGAGTTTGTCTCTTTTTAGCCCTGGGGCTTTGATAATCTTGTAATGAAATAGTTGTTGAAAAATTACTGATTAGAAAAATACTGAAAACACATGAACTCTGGTTTGCAAGAATGAATCTATTTTACTACTGGAGTAGGATCTCAAGAAGCCTCATCCAGCCAGAGTAATGGTAATGATGGTAGATTTTAGCTATCTGCTTTCTTTGCTCGCCATGTGCTTTGTGCTCTTTTGTGCTTGTTCTCATTGACTATCCCAGCTGCTCCAGTGGCAGTTGGGTGGTATCAGCCCTGTCAGATGAGGAAAACTTAGGTTTGTTCGAGTTCGAACAGGTACTGCCAGGCAGCTTGTCATTCAGGGTAGATGGTGGACTTTGCTTGGGTTAAAGTACCTCTCAGAGGTGAACTGGTATTCATTTAATGGATTAGTCATACTTAAGGACCTTTTTTTGATCTCTTACTCAGTGATTAATTGCTTATGTTCATATTGTGTTATCTAATTGGAGAGAGAGGTACTTTTTTCTTGATAGTCTGTTAGGAGATAGCTGACAATTTAAGGTGTAGTATCTTAATGATTATTCTTATTTTTGCTGCTCACTGATATGTAATAAGTATTCACTGTAGAAATTTTGGAAAAATAAAAAACATAAGAAAAATCATTTTCAGTGCTTATGCTTTTTTGTAGACTACCCCTTTAATCCTTGCAGCAGTCTTGTAAGGTAATTATTATCCCCATTTTGTAGAAAAGGAAAATGAGGCATAAAAAGCTAAGTATATCACTATAAGTGGTGGAGGTAACATTCTGACATTAAATTTCATATATTAGCATTCCTCACTCTCCCTTATAGTAACATTTTTTCCTTATCTTTTTTGAAGTAAGTGTGTGTGTGACTTTTTAAACTTTGGACCATACCATATGTTTAATTTTTTTTAATGCCTCCTTCAGTTACTATTTTTTTAAAGATTTATTTTTAAAATTTATTTATGCATTCAAGAACTTGGGTGTAGGCCAGAGGTGCAGAGGGTGAGAGGATTCAGCAGAGATAGTGAGGAGCAGAACAGGCAGATCCACTGAAATATACTGCAGTGGGGAGCAGTGGGTGAGGTCTGCTGTGCCATGTGAGTCAGCTCCCTGGCAGGGGATCAAATTCATGCTCATGCAGCAGTGGCTTGTGTGGCTTGATAGCACTGACTTTAACCCCAGTGCCCCCAGGGAGGCCCTTCAGTTACTTTCTTCTTTAAAAATTCCTTGGGCACTGTTTTAATAGCTATAGGATATTTCATTTTATGGAGATAAAATGACTTGTTTTAAAATTGAGACATTATATATAATAATGGTGTAGAAACTGGATTCTGGGGGAGTAGCAAGGGTTGTGGGTTCATATTCTGGCTCTGACCAGTATTGTGCAACTATATAATGGTCTGTGCCTTAGTTTACTACTCTAAAATGAAATATGATACTATTTATATAATAGTATTTTCACCAGTACTGAATGATAACTTGTTCTGGTAGTAAATTAATTAATACTTATAAAGTAGCACTTCTTACAATCTAATATCTATCTGGAGAACTTAATAAAACATTGATTTAGCAGGTCTGGGGGGGCGCTGAGTTTATTCGATTAAGGGTCTTAGTGGTATGCTATACTTTGAATAGCAAAGAAGTAAAGTACTTAAGAAAGATATCTGGCACCTAATAAGTGCTGAAAAAGTGTTAGATATCTGGGTTGTTTCAAATCATTCAGCTCTTAAAAATACTATTGTAGTGACTAAACCTTTGCCCATAATCTTCACCTTGTGGATTTTATTACTTCCTTCTTTCCTTACTCTTTTTTCAGTCTTGGTCTTGTCACTTGAATATAAAGACTACTAATTTCAACACTTGAAGGGCATCTATTGGTGAAATGTTAGATTGCTACCCAGTCTAACAAACCCTGTACCCCCACCCCTTTCATTTTGGAAATATGTGTGGAGACAGAGTTTTGGGATTGTCACAACCCCTGGGAAAAGTTACTGGCATTTAGTAGGCAAGGGACCAGAATGGCTTAATGCCCTGAAAGTATGAGACAGTCTGTACAGGAAAGAATTGTCCTGTTCAAAAGGCCAGAAACTTCTCCAGTCGGAATCCCTGAGACCATTTCTCTTCCTTTTGTAGATGTGAAAGAGTGAGAGCAGGTCAGGTCAGGAGCTCCAGCATAATCCCATAGCTGCCTGGTTGTAGAGCTATAGCTGGAACAGAAGTTTCTTGTCTCCTAAACCACTGCTGTTTTTATATTTGGCCTGTCTTTTCTGTTTGAGTTACCTAAGTGATAAATGACTCACTAGTTAAGCTTAGTGATCATTGCCTTCTATCTGAAAGGTTGTAACAAGATCACAGGTAACAAGATGGAGTTACCTTTGGCTTAAGGTCATAGATTATTTTTATTCTTAATTTTCAGAATGACTAAGATCTCTGTGTTTGATAGGCTGTCTTTTAAGATATACTGCACAGCAGTAAGATTTATAGTACAGAAAGTCATAACCTTGCGTCTTGGGGTCTTGACTTCTA